TCTGGACTACTCCACAGCCTCCTAACTGCCTCTCTGCCTTAGACTGACTCCTCCAATCCACAATCCATACAGAAGCCAAAGGGATGTTTCAAAAGGGAAAATCTGATCATGTCACCTCCCTGTGTAGAAGCTTTCAATGGTTCCCATAGAGCGCTGATAAAAATTAAAATCCTTTACATAACTTGCAAGGCCCTGTGTACTGGTCTCTCTCTCTCTCTCTCTCTCTCTCTCTCTCTCTCTCTCTCTTCCTCCCTTCTCCTCTTCCCCTCACTCTCTCTCTAAAATGAAAACATATCCTCACGTGAGGATTAATACACAGTGTGGCTAAGAGTTCAGGCTCTGGCCCCCTCTTCCCCTCACTCTCTATCTAAAATCAATGAAAACATATCCTCACGTGAAGATTAAAACACAGTGTGGCTAAGAGTTCAGGCTCTGGCCCTTGCTGGTTTGGCTCAGTGGATAGAGCATTGGATTGCAGATTAGAAGGTCCCGGGTTCAATTCCAGTCAAGGGCACATGCTTGGGTTTCAGGCTCAATCTCCAGTGGGGGTGTGCAGGAGGTAGCCGATCAGTGATACTCTCTCATCATTGATGCTTCTATCTCTCTCTCCCTCTCCCTTCTTCTCTGAAATCAATAAAAAAATATTTTTTTTTAAAAAAGAGTTCAGGCTCTGACATAAGTACACTTCTGCTCAAATCCCAGCTCAGCACTTTCTAACAATCACTATCTTTTTCTGGCTTCAGTGTCCCTCTCTGCACAGATCAAGATAATGGTTGTGCCAGCCTCGGTTTACTGTTATAAGAACTGAACAAGATAATGCAAGTCAAGTGCATCCATAGAGCCCTGGGCACTGTAAGCACTCAATAAATGTTAACTGGCATCATCACTTTTGTTGCTATTTTTAAAAATTATTTTTGGAATGGAAATTATTACTGGAATGAAAATTCCTCAAGGTCCATAGGAAGAAGATAGAGCTCTCCTCATTGAGTGCAGAAGAGACATTTTACACATGTTTATATTAATACAAATTTTAGAATGTTTTTCTAATATTTGGGTTTTAAAGACATACATTTGCTTAGCAAATATTCTAACCTTGTGATATCTCTTCCCCTGTTGCCTTAGCTGTTATTTAAATTAAATCTTGGATGACTTAAAGTTCATGTACCCCAATCAGACTGTACACTCTTTGAGAATGGTAACTTGTATGCAACTCTGTATCCTCTACATCACTCAGAATCAGCCCTTTTATTAATAGTTCTTTAAAAAAAAAAGACTGTGTTGATAATATCTGGCATGTTGCTTAGGAATGAAACTGTTTCTGAAGTTCTGTGGAATGACTGTGGAATCCTCCTGAAAAGTCATGTTTAGAAAGAAAAAAATTCTGTCCTTATGATTGCTGAAAGTTTAGGATTGCCCCCTTCCCTTCTCATCTAATAACTTAAAAATTTTTTGATTGATTTTAGAGAGGGAAAGGGAGAGAGAAACATCGATTTTGTTGTTCCACTTCTCTGTGCACTCAATGGTTAATGCTTGTATGTTTGATACCTGACTAGGAATCAAACCCACAACCTTGGCATATGGGGACGACGCTCCCACCAACTGAGCTACCCAGCCAGGGTCCTCTAATAACTGTCTGAATGCCCCAAACACCAGCAAAAACGAAGTCAGTATGCTTGGGGAACTGTGGTTTGGGAGGCATAGCTGTCGGGTTGTTTGCTTTTAGTGAACATGCTCTTCACTGGTAGCATTCATTTCCCAAGGCTGTAATTAGAGAGAAACTCCCAAGAAGCACTGAAGCTGCTGGACCTAAAGCCAGCGGAGATCTGATCCTGATTCACTAACCCAGAACAGGAGACCCAGACTGTGAGAATTCAGATCTCCAGAAAGGCAGGAAAGTCCCTTC